AAATAAACGGCAAAGTTAAACATTAAGCACCACAAACTACCACCAATCAGCGAATGACCTTGAACGCACCAATCACATGAAAGGGGCATTTTTGTGTATGGGATACATATATGTTTATGAAAGAAATGCATAAAAACTGTGGAAAAGTGTTAGAGAGGATACCTTCCTCTCACATGTGATAAAAATAGGTTGGAGTGTCAACAGAGTATAATTCCATTGTGGATAAAATTTATTTTGATAAAGTCTCTTAGTGTTATGCAGTAATATTGACTGGGCAATAAACTGTCCTCGAAACGTCGTCATCAGTAAATATTACTGTATAACAAACACTGTGAGACTTTATCAGAATAAATTTTACTCACAATGGAATTATACTCTACCATCACAGTGCATAAGTTCTATTCTTATATCAACAGATTAATTTAACCACATTCTATGCATGTAATTATTTAGGTCTTCTAACCATAACAATAACCCTAATCTTTCCTGAACCTAACTCTAACGTGAAAATATCCCTAAACTAACTGTAATCTAACTCTGACCAACCCTAATGTCACCTTTATTAGGTTAACCTAACCCTGACTTAAAGCATAACTCTATCTTTCCCAAACTTAAGCTGAAACTTGCCAGATATCCCATTTAATAGCATAACACGTCGATGAGCATATTTTATTGATGATGGCAATATTATTTGCCAGGTTTCACTAACTTGCTCAAGGTCATTGATGCAGTCGCACCCCATTGGTAGTCAGTGGTGCTTAAAGTTTAACTTGGCGAAACAAACAAACAAAAATCTTACAATGAACTATATTGTTATCGACAAAAAAAGGAAAAGTTAAGGACGCCACCACTACCACGATATACTACTACTCACCTGCTAAAAACCATGAATACCATTGGATTCGTAAGGATTCATTATGCAATGCAGAAGTGTAATAAGCTACTAAATCGGCATTTTTATTCACCATTAGAAAGCACAAATAAGCTTTGATAATTTCTGAACAAGTAACATCCTAAAAAAATAAAACCAACATTAGAAAAGAGAAGGTTTAAAAAAAAAAGATGGATTTAAATTAGACGAATTATTGTGAAAAAAAAACAATTAGTGAACTGAACCGGAATACTACTTTTGTCATTTCCTATTACACGATTGGTCGGTGGTCATGAGATAACATCAATTAGACAACCATTTGGAAAACCAACAAGGAGTACTACTAGACAGCTGTTTCGTCCTAGTTCGAACCTCTTCATTAGTACGTACCCAACGCCATCGCTGACCAATAAGCCACTGGGACTCGATCCAGTTACCAGCCCATGAATTCTAACTTCTGTCAATTCACGATATTGTGCGACTGGCATTAGCGAATGTCATCGGTGGCGCGAGTATTTGTCCTCACACCCGACCTGCTGTACCCCGTGGTCCCTAAACTGATGGGGTTGCTAGCCTCATGCCCAACCTTTCCTCTTTACCAGCATTACTTCTGGCTTAGCGAGGTAAAGGAGTGCATCGGCCGGGGATCGAACTCCGGACCATGTACATGGTCGGCGAGCGTCCTAACCGCTATGCCACCGACGCACAGGAGTCAGTATAGACCAGTCCAGTAACATCATCTAACATTTGCCAAAGGGAGCGAATCGCATGCCAAACATTCTCAGATTGCTGCTCCTCAAGGTGTTCAGAAGACTCTGCATGTTGTCAGCGTTTTCACCTAGGTGGGAGGACTATATCATCTGCATATTCCAAGTTAACGAGATTATTCCCTGATGATAACAAGCCAATCTCTGAGTCAATAAATTCAGTTAGGGTTAAGTCCACTAGTACAATATCTGTGATGAAATTAAACAGAAATGGGAATAGTGGGCTTCCTTGACGGACATCACTAGTTCGAGTAGAGTGCCTTCACATCAGTGCGATGTATTTTCTCGGCATTCCCTTAACAGCCAAACATCGCCATAGTACCTGTCGGTCGACAGACTTGAATGCCGCCTTTACGTCAAGAAATATAACGATTATTGGACGCCAGCGGTAAGTATGCCTATGTTCCGTTCCAGAATCTGTCGAAGGGTGAAGGCATGGTCAATACACCCTCTACCTTCCTGGTCTAAAGCCTGCCTGCCTAATTCCCTCGTGTTTTTGCCCCCCCCGAGCAACACTTAGTCTACGCATTATTATTGAACCTAGAACTTTAGATACCACCATATTAGTCAAGCTAATAATCTAGTTAGCAAATACCACTTTTGTTTGCTGTGAGTAATATACAACTACTTACGTCAGTCAATCAGTAGTATAACGCAGAATATTTAAAAAAAATAATCAACACTATCATCATTTTACCTGAATGTCGGCTTCTGCAGATTTCAAGAACAGGACAAAATGTGTTAAAAATCGAAGTGTATGACAGATCACTTGATCGATATTACCAACTCGACTGAAATCTGGTGGTTGTATAGGACCGATCTCGGGAACCACTCCATCACCCAGGCCATAACATACTAATTTTGGCATAATATTTGCTAAAGTTGCCAAAAAGGCTGAAAATAAAAATTTTGTTAGTTTGTTTTTCTAAATTTAGGTGAGTTACTGAAAAAGAAAACCAGGTTACAAAATATAAACTGCTGTGGTGAGTGCTACTTATATAATCCGATATAAGTAGTACATATCAGTAGACGAACTCAGAAAAGTAACAATATGTTCTGGGTAGTGGAAAAAAGCAATCAAGAAGAAGAGAACTGCTAGAAGAACTTTAAAACCACTATACAGAATCCAACAAGGTATAGAGTGTGATGATGTTCGACCAATTTGCAAATGATGTGCAAATAAAAACTTAAAGACAAGGTATACGAAATCTATGCACCTACAATGCGTCTTTGTCCTAATAAACATTGCCATCGAGCCTCATAAGTCTCTTTTCTCCGTTACACTACCTTAGAAACTCCAGATATTAAAGAAGACGTCTGCCAAATTAATAAACGTTAAGAATAGTTTGGGTCCATAAGAATTTAGGTACAGTTGTGGTCCACTCTGCTTCAGCAGCACAACTTCCCAACTCCACTGGGTCATAGATTCGAATCCTGCCCCCCCTTCAGAGGTTTGATTCCATCTTGTCTTCCGCAGCCATCTTTAACAGGCTCCACACGATTGCCTATAGGCTGTCATCTCCTTCAACTCACACGACCTCCTTCATGTCACCCTTATACTAACGCCCAACTCATCGCTTCTCATACGGTTTCTACTCCTGCGATGGCCTGGCAAGAGATGTCAACCAGTGGTCTCCTCAACATGTGTCCGATCGATCCATCTCCATTTTCTTAAAAATATTTGTTGAGCAATGGGTTGCTAATTCTTCCCAGCTGGCTATGTGATCTTCAGTGAGAAGCCAGAGAAGGCAGTAGTTGATGAAAGTCAACAGCTGGCTGTTGAAAATGTTTTTCATGACGTGGGTGCCATATAGAAGAACTAACACTCGCTTGACATTCTTGTTGAAAATCTGAATTTTATTCTTTATACAGCAGAGTGAAGAAGATTTCCGAACTGATTTCAGATTGATGACGGTGTACCATGCCTTTCCGATTCTAGTTTTGACATTTTCATCCGTTCCGACTGCCTATAGCCAGAACGATGATATCTACGCAGATAAGTCAAAGCAGTGAATCTTTCCAAATTTCTTCCATTGACAGTGTCTGGTGCTTGTTGTTGTCGGTCAGCAGTTGGTTGGTTGGTTATTCTCATCGTCCCTGTCTTCTCTATGTTCGTTTGACGTTTTGTACGCGCCACTTATCTTTTCTGCCAAATTGTCGGTTTTCGACTGTTTTTAGTAAAGTTTAATTTGATAAAGTGATTACATTTTTTTTAAATTTTTGATTACAGCTTGATTCCACACCGTATTTTTGGTACAGGTATGGAATTTTCAGCATGTTATATCGGTAGCCCAAATTTTGCAGGCCAACCATAGATATCAGGTGTGCGTCGGCAGGGGATCGAAACCCAGACCATGTGCATGGTCGGCAAGAGTCATAACCGCTGTGCCACCGACGCACAGTGATAAACAGAAGTGTGAGTGAGGGAAAATGAATAGTAGTAGTGTTATGGAAGAACAACAGAGTTTTATTAGATATGATAAGTCACAAAGAGTGAATGCATTTGCGCCAGTCATCACTGAGAATGACGATTCTGAACCTTATCACACACCACTTGTCTCCAGTCGTGAATGGTTCTTACCAACCCAAGGACCCCAACCAGTTAGTCAGACAGCCAGTCTACACCTCCCTACCTGGTTGGCTGGCTGGCTGACTTAAACTAACTGTTGTTATGGATTTGATTGACTGATGAAGCCATGTTTTGGTTTGCTAAATCTTTTCCAACTTGATCCATCCTAAATCAGCGGCTGGCATTGCCCCTTGTTGAGGAAGGCAGGCAATGGCTAGGCTATCATGCGTAACACATTTCCTGACCATGTCAGTCGGTGTAACTTCACAACCTCGTCGACTGATTATCGAACCTTACCTACCACTCCACCGAAGACTAACTTCAATATTCCTCACCCTATCATACTACCAACTAACACAAACGGGAGATAGAACGTAGGCACCTATGATCAAAGACAGCTAACCAGGTTTTTCATGTCTTCCACTTTCAGTGGCCATGCCTCTCTCATGGCCAGTCATAAAGGAGGACGGAGAGAACTGCTACTGTGCAGCACACACGTCCTTCGGCCAACAGCCAGTCGGATATCACATCTACTAAACCACAGTTTCGTAAGTCTGCTAATAAATAACAAATAAGCCTTCTGTATCCATTCTGAGATTTTGTCAGTGACTGGGACTGGCTGATACAACTTCCCAGCACGCTCTACTACTTCATTCCTGCCAATCTTCAAGCTAACAGTGAGTCGACATAGTCCGCAGGACATAATCAAATCACACGCCAAACATTCGCAGAATGCTACTCCTCAAGGTGTTCAGAAGACTATATATATTTCGTCAGCATGTATACCAATTCTCTAAACCATATAAAATCGCCTAAATTAATCGTTATAAACTTACAATCATAATTTCTTAACATAACAGTCTGTTGTACAGCATAGAATATACAATAGACAATTGCATAAACTGAAGGCGATTGTAAATCATCGCCATTATTGTTATTATTACGAAAACCATCACCATCATTTGCATACATGTAGGAATTATCATCCATTAAGAAATCGTTCATTGCAGACCGTATAACCGTTCGCATACGTAGATTACTACTACTACTACTGCACTTTTCTAGACAACCAATAGCTGACCAACCAAGACGTGCATCAACACGTGCAAATGCATCCGAAAGAGTCCAATCACCAGGAGCCCATGCTGAATCTGGTAGAGTTAAACCACCATCTAATGGCCAGCGTTTTGTTGTTCTACCTGTAACTGCCTAATATATAAATATATAAGAGGGTAAAATATTATATAAGTAGTATATACATATAGAAGGCAAAAAAGGAGTATTTTGCATACCATTTCTCAAGAGTAAACACTTACCTACTATGAGTACAAGTTACTAACTACCCTTTTGATACCATCTTAATATTTACTCCTTTGGAGTAAAGTATACTAACTTTGATGGATGGGCTTTTTAAATATACTTTAAAGTATTCACACTAGTGCCCTACTCTCCGTAAATGACCAGGTGCACACAGTCGGGGGCTGGTAAACTTTGTAACGACAGAAGACAACGACCAGTCAAACAGATCGTTTCTTGAGAAAATCAACAGATATTTATAGATTTTTATGTACATTATTATTATTACCGCTTTTGTTAGCAGAGAAACAGCGTCTTCTGATTGGTTGCTTTCTGTCTTTGTGGCCATTTCTTTCAAGGTCAGACCACATATATCAGCGAATCAAGCCCACCCACGCAAAGTCTGTTGTGATTGGTTGATGAGTTAGTCTTTGTTCTTGTGTTTTTTTCTCATGACTAAGATGTAGGACGTAAACATTGACGTATATTGCTGTCTACCAATTTTGGCTAGCAGACAGCTCTCACCACACTTTGGTCGTTTCCCTAGAAGTGCCCTTATGACACTAGGCGTTTACAACCTCGTCTTATTCACTGTCTTTGATCGGTACGGGTTATTCTCACAAACAGGGAGATTGTGAATGTTCTCTGCTCATCACCGGACTAGTAGAAAATAGGGTCCCCCGCAAGGGACGGGCTAATATACAAAACCCGATAGTTTGTGCTAGGGGTTGAGGATACTGCCAGGGCAGGTGGTTGTCTTAAGGAATGTTTCTCTGAGCCTTTGACTAAAAGTCCGATCCACAAGGTAGTATAGCAGCGACAAGAGCGCCAGATGTTCGCCTTCGCGATTTCACTTTGTGAACAACACCGTGGCCGCGTGGAGGAATTCAGAAAACACTGGTTTAGAACCTACGATGCACATGGGGGCTCAAGAATGTGAAAGACAGGAATCAACTATGAATCTGTTTTGGACACCTGCAACCATTGGAACGCATCTTCTGACTCTTTGCTCTACCAACCGGTGGATTCCAATTCAAGTACAAGATCTCGCTACATTTTGTGGCGCATCCCTTGGTGCTCATATTGTACTAAGTTTCTATTCAAATAAATAAATAAATAAGCGACACAGCCAGTGGAGTTTTTCAAGACACTTCTAAAGGCATTTCATGGTTCGATTACATCAGTTAAACCAACTGATAATGATTCCTGGTGAATTATATCAATGAAATCTCTAAATACGCAACATATAAATATCAACCCATGGCTAACTAGTGCGACTAGATTTCAGATTATTTATGTAGGCTTTTATAGAAGTCTTCGTAACCGATGATAACTATAAAGTTCGTTGTGAGAATAATAACTCAGTAATAGTATTGGATAGCATTGGAGCCCCCTTTTCATATTGATAAAACCTAAACATATTCCGTTATCGACTTCTAATTCATCGTCCACCTCGTGAACTGAAACTCTCCACTTTGAATACCAGTGATATGATTAATATATGTGTGAAACTTGGGCACTGTGGTAATAAGTAATTCCATATCTATGTGCATTTACTCTTTACCTGCTCTTGTGGAGCTGTTTATATTGGACGTTGTAAGCGTAATCTCCGAAAACGTGTAGCTGAAAACTATCCGGTTTGGGTAATGAAAGGCAAAAGTAGAACTGCAAAGTCGTCTATTTGTGATCACCTGTTAGAGTCTGGTCATTCAGCCCCACGTGATTCATCTTTCAAAGTTATCTACATGGCAAAATCGAATCGCTCCAAAAGTTTACGTTTTCTTCACTTATGCATAACCGAAGCTTTAGCTATACATGAACAGAAACCTGAATTATGTGTTCGAAAATATTTTGTCTAACGCTTTTCTTTACCTTGGTCATAGTTATGTTCTTTCTAGTTTTTACGTTATTTTATTTTACCACTTGAATCCTTTCCACTTCACTTCACATCTTCATTCTCATCGTAATTGTACTCCTAATTTTAAAATTTTTAGACAACACTTGACATTTTTAAAACATTTTTGATTTCAATTCACTTATAAAACAATCTTTAATAATTTTGTAATTTATTCACTTCAACTCTACCCTTTATAACATTTTAATTATCGTTATTCTTATCACATGTACAATATTGAGTGAGCAATTATTTAGTGCCACTTAATAACCTTTTCTGTAATATGAATACGACTGTACAGCTTGAAAATGAAGTCGTTGAAGAGAAATTTCTTCGCTGAACAAAAAACTGTTTTTACTTATGAATTCTATATTAGTTTGTTTATTAAATGTATGACACAGAGAAATAGTATTATTTACTGGATGACGATGCTTCGAACACAATTTATTACTGTTCATAATCATACCATCAATTATAATCACACAATTTGGAAACTTGAGTTTTATGGTCTTCTTTGTTATCTCATATTTGTCGTAGGTGTAGTAGTAGAATTTTCCAGATATCTGAGTGGACAGGTGTTGAGTCATTCCTATCACACGTGTTCTCTTCAGTTGATATGATAAAGAAAGCCTCCATTACCAATCTCTCCCTCCCTCCACCCTGTTATTACATTAGATTTTAAAACTGTCATCCTATCCCATCCTATTGTATGCTTGTGTGTAACTGCATGTAGTGAGTACTACAGCTAAACTATTCTCTACATTTCTTATCTTATTCGGGTCAATATTATAAGATAAGAAATCTGGAGAATAGTTCAGCTAAATCACTCACTAAATGCAATTACACACAACCAACTATACAATAGGATGGGATGGAATAAGATGATAGTTTTAAAATCTAATATAACAGCAGGGTGGAGGAAGAAAATGATAACAGAAGCCTTGTTTATCGAATCAACTACAAATACGTGTAGTACGAATTATTCAACGCCTATCCCAACAAATTTTGTTCGAAACGTCATCCAGTAGATAATAATACTGTTTTACTGTGTAATACATCTAATAAACAAACTAATATGGAATTGAATACCAGTGACGTTGTGAATTCATCATATCGATAAATGGAGCTGTGGCTCCATTGGTCTAGGCTCTCTACTTCTAACCAGTAGGCCACAGGTTCGAACTCCACACCACTCATTGAGGTTTGGGCAGCTCCGGATAGTATAACTAGCTCTCACACACACACAATAGATGTGGCTCATTGTCAACTGCATACAATTGCAAGTAGTTGTAGAATAACACTGTCGTAGGCATAAAACGTATTACACTGGAAGGAAACTGAACTGGACCGAAAGAGATAAAGTATTAGTTTTCGCAGGACTGCAAAGTACAGAGAATAGCTGCTTGAGGCTGGTCCTGTGCAGCCTGCTTGGCATATCTTTTGAAGTTGTATTCGCATGGAGACCTTGCCACCGGCTACGGATCTACAGCTGCAAGGTAGATCGAGATGTACAATTCCTGGAGTCCATCTTCTCTAACCTCCACCCAACCTAGAGAAAATAAGCAGCGTGGCTGGATTGCTGACTGTTCACCATCATCACAACTTCCCCCTCACATACACACGCACAACACCTACACTACGATACTAACTGCTTTTGGCCTGACCGCTATCCAAGCGACCTTTGTAGATTGATAGGACCTAAAAGAACATACGGTCCAGCCAGTGTAACTCGTTCACAGTCATTGTGATATGCAAGCCTGATCACCGCGTGTCAGTGTGACAGCTATCAGTAGGGACTGGAAGGAAACAGCTTTGAGAGAATTGAATTTTAGATTTTTCCCGTCGATTGATTGGACCGAAGTGCTCGGTCTCAGGTTGACATGTCGGCTTCTTGTGTACATGCTTCGACGATGTCTGGGCATGTAATTAGAAGTTAATTGGTTGATAGTGACTAGCAGTGGAATCCACCAGGATGCGCATTTAGTCCTATTTGGGACTCGTTAGCTGACTGGATGTACCTGCATTCCCCAGTGAGTGACGATGTTCCCACAGAGGCTCGAACCCCGTGCCCATAGTTTCAAACACCAAAGCGTTATCCACTAGACCACTTGGGCAACGAGAGCCACCTCTTCTGCAACGAATCATGTTAATTATTTAATTGAATTTTAGATTTTTCCCGTCTATTGATTGGACCGAAGCGAAGTGCTCGGTACACCCAGTAGACGAGCCCCAAATAGGACGAAACGCGCATCCTGGCTGGATTCCACTGCTGGTGACCATCCACCAATTAAATTCTACTTATGACAGAAGTCTATCCTGAATCATCCACCTTATAAACGAAATAATATTATTTTATTTGTTCATTATTTTACATAAAAGATAACCCCTACTCCATTCCATCAATTTTATTTCGAGATTCACATCCGGAACAAGTCGACTGAAGCGGAGATTTCAAGTCGATAAAATCCATCCCTTCTTCGTCTACTTGCATCCATCCTGATTTACCTTGCAGTGGTCCACAACCTGCGGTAAGATCTCAACAATACAGGCATAAATTAAAAATTTAACTCAAACAGGTCGCTTGTAACTGACCTAAAACAGTTGTCCCCTGGGTGATGTCGTCGCGTAACACTAATTCCCCTTCTGTTTCCGGCACCCCGAAGAAATCATCTTCCACAACGTGGGGAGTTGGGAAGTAAAACCACCCTCACACTTCCATAATCAAACAAAGCTTTACACATGGATTTATATTATACAGTTTACATGCAATGTTGATATGCTTAATTTTAGACCTATTGTAAACAGAATTATTGAGCATGACATAATAAGTGACGCTGAATTCAAAATAAGTAATATATTTAAAATAAAGCGAAAAATGTTCCCACACAACAATATCAGGCATAAACAACATCTCTGCCAAAAATTCTAACTTACTAAGGTATCAGCTCTAGGACCAGTATTCAATAAACTACGTAGGCTAGAATCAACACGTGCTTCAACCAACGCTCGACAATGTGCCCAAGTTTGATCAGTCCATGAAGCAGGCAAAATTTGTGTTAGTACATCTAAATTCCCTGAGAGTGTTGCATAGATAGCCCGTTCAAATGAACGTAAGTTTACCTAAATATTATATAAGTGAGAAGAAAATGGAATTAACAGTAGAATTAACGACGAAACGACGAGTAATACTGAAAGTTAAAACAATTGAGTCGGTACGACTGCTTCAAGGGAACAAATATAACCCAAGAGATTATGACGAGTGATTGATAAGTGTGATGTGTACCTCCTGAAGAAATTCCACTCTTAAGAGAGACAGACAGACAGATATCTTAACTGATGCAAGATTTCGATAGAGAAAGGAAGACCAGATTTGCAGTATAAAATGAAATCGTCATTCTATTTCACGGGTTCTCATCAGCTGCACACCACTACCTGAAATTACAATATTTATATAGATGATAATAATATATTTTTACGAGTTGATCACGGATTGATATCAGTTAGAGAACCATTGAAAACAACCAGGGAGTACTGGACAGCCACCTGTTTCATCAGCCTAGTTTGGGAATCATCGGCAGTACGCACCCACTGGGCTTCGAACCCAGGACCTTCCAGTTACAAGGCGAGCTCGGGTCCCAGTGGTTGAATGGTATACGAGCTTGCCTTGTAACCGGAAGGTCCTGGGTTCGAATCCCAGTGGGTGTGTACTGCCGATGATTCCCAAACTAGGCTGATGAAACAGCTGTCCAGTACTCCCTGGTTTTCAATGGTTCTCTAACTGATATCAATCCGTGATCAACTCGTAAAAGCATAACTAACCCTTACAAACAAAACTATAGAAAGATAATAATATACTTTAATGTTTAAGTGGTAATAGAGAAGAAATGCCATAAAACTGACGCATCCAAAATGTAAGCATTACAATTTTTAGTTTATTTTCATCATCAATTTGTACGCTTTCAAAGTAAAAAAGAGGGGCGAGGGGTAAAACCGACAAATAATTAACAGTGTTAGCTTCTACCTTGTTCACATGGCAACTGAAAATACGAAAGCGGTTACAGTTTATAAGATTAAGATTTGCTCAGTGAGTTGAGATCACTGAATTAGATGACTAATTATTAATGTAATCAAAATCAAAATTCAGTTACCAAGGGAGTAAGTGAGAGATTAATCTCAAGGGAACCAAGTGTATGATACAAGATTATGTTGTGGACATGTTAGAGGTGTCCAAACCAAGAAGTGATAATTCCCTAATCAACTTAGTAAGGTTTCGCGCTAGTTGGCACTCATCAGTAAGACGTATCTGCAAACTTGAAGGAATTCATATTCCTTCTAAGATTCGAGACGTTACCACTAAGCCATTTGCGCTCACGATTCACCTCATGTAGGACTGTATTGGATACTGTGATTGGACATTACTAACTAATCTGAGGTATCTAGTCCTTTCTTTGGTGCAGACTGAATTCTATCAGTCAGTCAGGTTTGCAATGTGACCACCATTCCACTAGGTAGCTCGCCATCACGGTACACATTGATTTGATGACGACATTGCAAACCTGACTGATAGAATTCAGTCTGCACTAAACAAAGGACTAGACACATCATACTAGTTACTAGTGTGCAATCAATATATACATATATGATTTGATGTCACACAAAATCGAAGACTTACAAGCAAAAACCAACAAACTGGTCGAAGAAACAGCAAAGACAAGACTCCAGGTGAACATAGACAAGACAGAGGTTATGAAAATAACCAACCAACCAACAACAACAACAGCAGCAACATCCAGCGCCAATCACCATCAACGGGAGGGATTTGAAAGAGGTTACTTCATTCACTTATCTAGGGAGCATTGTCTCAACTACAGGAGGAACGGACGAGGATGTCAAATCGAGACGAGAATCGGGAAGGCGAGAAACACATTCATCAACCTGAAACAACCAATCTGGAAATCTTCGTCACTCAGCCAGCATCAACAACAAAATTCGGATTTTCAATACAAACGTCAAGTCAGTCAGTTCTTCTATACGGATCAGAAACTTGGCCAGTGTGTCACAAAGAATATTTCCAACAGCCTGTTGCAGACCTTTATCAACAACAACTGTCTTCGCTCTATACTGAAGATCAGATAGATGGCCGGAAAGAATCACCAACAAGAAACTATGGGAACAAACAAAACAAGAACCAATCGCCCAACAAATATACAGGAGAAAGTGGAGATGGATTGGACCCTCGCTGGGTGACATCGCGCGTCAGGCCAGTGCTCGAGTGGAATCCAAAAGGGAAGCGGCGTAGTGGGACGTCCAAGGGTGACATGGAGGAGATCGTGTGAAGAGGAGTTGAAACAGTATGGACTAACATGGATGCAAGTGAAAAGTACAGCAAAAGACAGAAGCAAGTGGAGACATGCAGTTGAAGCCCTATATTCCACTAGGAACCCAAGGGAACAATAATAATTATATATATATATATATATATATGATTGTGATAAGAAATAAGCTATCAACAGACAGACCTATAGCGCTTACATTTTCAGAATTCCACCAACATGCAGATTTATACAAAATTCTTGTTGGATTGCCTTCAACAGTTAACTGCATATAAAATGGTCCTGAATCACCGAGTTCTTCATCTTCATTAAATGCCTTCTCCATTTCCTTGGATTCACTCTCAATAAATCCGGAATAATGAAATGGACGCCAACCTTCCAGTGAAATAGCTCGCCAATATTCATGACGTTGTGTACACAACAGTTGAGCCTACAATAAAATAAACACATGAGGATTTAACGAATCTGGATGACCATGAAATGTAAATGCGTCTGTTCCAATTAAGGCCAACAACTTCCGGCCATATCGCGCCGATGGTACAGCAACAGAATGCTCACCAACTACGCCACATGTGGTCCGGAGTTCAATTTCCGGCCACAGATGCACTTCTAAGCCTCGTTAAACCGGTAATATGACCAGTAAGGAGGGAGGGATGAACATGAGACTAGTAACCCGAACCTGTAAAAATGAATATCAGTGCTACCAGGACTTTAAAGCTCTCTAGCTTGAAGCCCGATGTTCCATTAAAAGCGTAAGGGAATAAAATTTGAAAAAAAAAAATAAATTCGGCTATATTAACAAAACATTCTCCAACCATTGCTTCATAGCCTCCCCTCGAGGATCCCAAGGAGAGGCAGTCTACACCTCCCTCCCCCACCTACGTGTCTATCTCAAACCAAGGGCCAAAGACTTTACGGACTGATGCCCGCGTTTTGATTTGATCAAACTAGTCCAATGACGAAGAAGGCGATCGATATCTTGTTATGCGTAACACGTGCCCTAGACACCCCAATTGAACAATAGGAGTAGCTTCACATAACCTCATCTATTTACGCAAAAAGGCTAGTCATCTTTGATCATGGGTGCCTACGTTCTACCTCCCGTGTCAGGTTAGGTGGTATAATAAGGTGAGTAATATTGAGGTGAGGTATCAGTCGAGTGTTAAGTAAGGAGGGAAAATCAGTGGACGAGGTCATGAAGTTACATCGATTGAGGCGGTGGTTAGGAAATGTGTTACACAGAGTAGCCTATGCATCGCCTGCCTTCCTCGGTAACATGCAATGTTAGCCGCAGGCACAAGATGGATCAGGCTGGAAAAGAGCTAGCACATGGTGGTCAAACCAAAGCATGGCTTCATAAGTCAGTGAAATCCATAACAAAAGTTAGTTTAAGTCAGCCAGCCAGCCACGTAGGGAGGTGTAGACTGGCTGTCTGACTCCATATTAGTTTGTTTATTATATATATCACACAGTCAAGGAAACAGTATTATTTACTGGATGACGAGGTTTCGAACACAATTTATTACTGTTCATAATCATATCATCAATTATAATCACACGACTTCGAAACTTGAGTTTCATAGTTTTCTTTGTTCTCTCCTATTTGTCGTCGTTGGGGTAGTAGAATTTTCCAGATATCCGACTGGACAGGTGTTGAATCATTCCTATTACACGTATTCTCTCTCACTTGATTCGATAAACAAAGCTTTTGTTTTCAATCTCTCCCTCCATTCAACCTGTTACATTAGATTTTATAACTGTCATCCTATCTTATCCTATTGTACGGTTGTGTATGGTTGTGTAATTGCATGTAGTGAGTGGTATAGCTGAACGTTTCTCTAGATTCCTTTTCTTATTTGGATCAACTAATCTAGATTTTGCTAGGTATTTATGTTCCACTAGTCTGACTGCTTCTGTTCTACTACTTCGACTTATGTATTTGACCTGACAATCATTCCAACAGGGTATTAGATAAACTAAATTGTTTTGTGTTAAAGGCTCCACAGGATTGATCCTGTAACCGACAAAGCTTGTTTCTAATTGAGTTTGTGGGGTGTTTGAATGCCATTTTTATTCCTGCCTTGTTAAGAATTTTGCGTAAGATTTCCGAGGTTCCTTCCTTGTTTGGAATTACTACTGATGATTTAGATTCCTTATTGTTGGTGTCGTTATTATTATTATTATTATGATCATTACTACTGTTAGCATTAAATAATAATAATGTAAATAATAATAATACTGTAAATAATACTGTTTCACTAAGTGATACATCTAATAAACAAACTAATATGGAATTACTTACTACCACAGTGCCCAAGTTTTACACATATATTAATATGGCTGTCTGACTAGCTGGTTGGTAAGAACCAATGAAGGCTGGAGACAAGTGATGGGTGATATGGCTCAAAATCGTCGTTCTCTGTGATAGCTGGCGCAGATGCATGCATTCTATGTGATTTATCATTTCCAATAAAACTCTATCGTTCCTCCATAACACTACTACTGTAAAGAAGACAAGACTGAGGAGACTGAAAGGAACACTTATTTGGTGAAACGTATGGTACATAGCTAAATTTGGTATACCATATTCTAAACCGGCCATTTGCACATCTTTACCACATCCTTGACGAATTGGTCGAATATCGTCTCATTCGATAGCTTCTTGGATTCTGCATCATATGGCAACATTCTTCTCACGGTTCTCTTCTTTGATTGCTCTTTTCGGTGTGCCAAACATGTTGTTACTTCGTTCCTGATATACTACTTATATCGGATTATAAGTAGCACTCACCACACTACTATTCTTTTTCCCTCACTCACACTTCTCTTTAGTATCTATCTTTCTTTTGATGAATCCCTACTCTCTTCTGTTGGTTTGTGTGCCAGATGGAGGGAGAGTGGCGACTGGAACTTCTGTACAGGCGTGCAAAGTTCTATGTTGAAACCAGTCAGTCAGCTAGTCAGCATCACCAGGTCTCCCAACTTTCAATGACCACATCACACAACCATGAAAAATGACAGGTTGAGTATTATCTGCATACGTCACCAACTATTTGCATTCCGATACAGTTGGCATTGAAGCCAGGCTTATTACATCAGGTATGAGTATAAAACTTGGTCACTGTGGTGGCAGAGTATAACTCCATTATGGATAAGATTTTATTTTGATAAATCACACACAGTGATTGTTGTACAGTAATATTAACTGATGACCACGTTTCGAGCACAAACTATTACCGCTCATAATCATATCAAGCTACTCACACAACTTTCTTGCTTCATTTATATATATGTGTGGAATTCATGATTAGATATTTGAATAGAAATCAATATGGGATAATGTACATTCAGGAATAATAATATTAGTTTTATTGATCAAATGCAATCAGATGGGAAATAAGACGAGTGTATTTATAGTCAAAATAAGTAACATGTTATAATGTTATGATGTACGTGAATTGAAATAGAATTTTGAGATTATTTATTATCCTCCTTTGATTTCACTGACTGACTGACTGGTGGTAATAATATATTCCATGCATATCTCTGGTATTTGCATTGAGTCATTTTTGTTGCATGTGTCTGGTGTAGATTATTCGATGAACCGGGATTCAGTAATCAATATCTCTCTCCACTTACCAGTATTACTTTTTAGAATTTTGACTCTGTGACACCCACCCTATTGTGTCGTTTTGTGTTAATGCACACAGTGCAATGTAGTGCTGAGCTTTTTTCTAAATTACTTATCTTCGTGAGTGAGGGCAACCATTCTTACCATTGCTAAATTCTTATGTTCCGACAATCTGACTACCGCCGAACCTGCTAGTTTGACCTATGTAGTTGACTTAACTCACAGTCATTGCAAGGTATTTTGTAAATTATATTATTTAGAATGGTTAGAATGGTTGACGCCACTCGCGAAGATAAGTAATTTAGAAAAAAGCTCAGCGATTGCACTGCATGCATTAACACACAACCACACAATTGGTGAGACATTTGAATAAAAAATCAATTGATTTTTATTCAAATATCTGGTCAATTCCACACATGTATATAAATGAAGGAAAAAGTTATGTGAGTAACTTGATACGATTATGAGCAATGATAGATTCTGCTCGAAATGTGGTCATCAGTTAATATTACTGTATGACAACACTGTGTGACTTCATCAAAATAAAATCTCATCCATAATGGGGTTATTACGTCAGGATTGATGATGTTATCCAGGTTTCTAGGGTCTATACCAGATGGAGTGGGATACAAACTCACCGTTCAAAAGTCCAGCGCTTCAGTTGATGAATCACATCAAACCATAATGATATAGTATCACTTACTGAATAATGTTTCCAGCACAGCTTATTGCACAATATTATAAACATAACCACCAAGAAAGGACATAAACTAGTAATTCCATTGGAATTATTATTATTATTCCCTTGGATTCCGAGTGGAATGCATGGTTTCAGCCTGGGGGGGGAACATCCCTACTTCACTCTGTTCTCTGCAATCGCCCATATGCTTTCATTTCTCCCCCACACAATCTTCTCCACACCACCCTCGGAGCCAAACCCAACTCGTCACTGCTTATTCAGGTTCCATTCGAGGGTGTGGCGCCAAAAAATAAAATCAAATGACACAATAACTTCAAAATATAAACTAAGACAGTGAAATATGAACATACGCAAGTTCAAAGCATACTTACACGATGAAGATCTCCACCACGAAGGCATAAAAATAAATAATTCACATAACGATCATTATCGATTTGATCTTTTTGATCCAGCTCATTGCCAGTAAGCGTTACCACATCTGGATGCTAATGTATAATGAAAACAGAAAACGACTCAATAAGTAAAAGAAATGAAAACGCCACTGGTCGAGAATAAAAGAACAAAAATGATGTTATTCAAATGCTGGTTTGCAGGGATTCCATTTGATTGGTTACAGGATTTCATCATGAGCTAACATCGCCTAGAGAACCATTAGAACGCCTGCAAGGAGTACTGGACAGTTAGTTGTTTCGTTTTAAATTTGAGACCGATAGGTTCTGAACCCAGGACCTTCTGATTACAAGGCGAGCTAGCCCGTAGATCACTAAGCCATTGGAACCAGATCTAATGGCCAGTGTTTATGAATTTCAACTTGTGCCAATTCACGACGAAACAGATGTTAATTCACCAGTTTCAATGTCTTAACCGATATCAGCTATTCATGAAACAATGATGTTGCTGGAACGTACGGCCTTCAATTTATAGAAAATCAAAACAAATGATTCAGCGAAGAGACTCTTTTCAACGAATTTATTATCAAGCTGTACAATCGTATATATATGGTTTTTAAGAAGTTATATCCGGTGAGGGAATTGAATCATAGGTGTGAATACATGAAATAATAATAGTAGTAGTATGAAATGCAATTAAAATATTTGTGATTATAATCATAGTTTAATGTCAAGTGGCAAAACAATTAATGTCATATATATATATAGAATAATAGAGTAATTTACCCAAATCCCTACGTACCCGACTTATCTGTATTGCTGAAGCTTTGGCTATCGAAACAGAAAAGCCAGATCTCTGTGTACAGAAAAAGTTCGTTCAACCCCTCCAACTTTCATGGTCTTAATCCCTCTATGCTAAAGTATGGTAATCCCCAATCATATTTTAGCTCTACCATTTTTTCATTTTTGTCTATTCAATTTGTATACTCTTCCTTATTACGTCAATTGTTACTATTACTACTCTCACTCATCCTTTGTCATTCTAAATCAATTCCTTTTTACAACATTAAATTCTATGCTATTAAATTTCACACAATATTACGTAACGTTTTTATTTTATTCGATTTGTCTACTAATCTTATAATTGCACACCCTTTTTCAAGTTCTATCCATCCTATGAATTATTCTATATATATGACATTAATTTGCTTTGCCACTTGACATTTAACTATGATTATAATCACAAACATTTTAGTTTTAATTGCATTTCATACTACTATTATTATTATTTTATGCATTCACACCTATGATTCAATTCCCTCACCGGATATAACTTCTTAAAAACCATTTGTGTATAGACGATTGTACAGCTTGATGATAAATTCGTTGAAAAGAGTCTCTTCGCTGAATCACCACTTGTTTTGCTTTCCTTTAATTTATGGTCACACTACTAGCGGAATCGAAGATGAATGTATTTCTTCCACTCCATATATTAGCCAGATATTGCCAGCATCCCACTGAATAATGGTCTTTGCGTAACCCCTATCGCTGAATGGCAGATTATGAATTTGATTTATGGCATGAATAGTTCGACCAAGCAGCTAGCTAGCTAGCTAGCCAAACAGAAATCGGCTGATTTGAACTGATAATTCGGCTCCCGGATGAGTTCGGCGCCCAAACAAGCGAAACGCCCTTTCGGTGGTGGTATTTAGATCATCTCGATCTGGCTAGCTGGCAAGCACTGCTAACTGATATGAGTGGTAATCAAATACTCATCTCAATCAATTAATCAATCAATAGAATGTAATCCTCCCTTGCAGTTACTTAATAAGACTGAGTCGATCAATCTCAATTTGGCACTATGACACTCTTATATAATTACCATAATATGGTTGGTTTGTAAGGATGAGATTTGTTTTTACGAGTTTGAACTCGCACGGATTGATATCAGTTAGAGAACCATTGAAAACCAGCAAGGAGTACTGGACAGCCAGCTGTTTCATCCTAATTTGGGAATCATCGTCAGTACGCACCCACTGCCAGGGTTCGAGCTGGCTCGTATACCATTCAGTCGCTGGGACCCGACTCCTCAACGACTAGCCCCTGAATTCTAACTCCTACCAATTTCGTGGCATTAGCACGACTGGCACCAACCAATCGGTGGTCATCGGTGGGAAATCCATCCTCACACGGTTGACTGGATGAACCGCACTGGTCACGACTTTTCACTAGAATTTCAGGAAACTCCGTCCTATAGCCAGTCAGTCACTAGCAAGCATTAGTACTCCCTGGTTGTTTGCAATTCAATGGTTCTCTAACTGATATCAATCTGTGATCAACTCGTAAAAACATACCATAATAAGGGTATTTTTTCATAACTACAACTCATTGATCACATAATCAGAATATTGAAATCCTTGTATAACAACTTAGATATTCGCTCACAACGTATTATATCATTATTATTATTTCCTTTAATTCCTAGAGGAACATAGGGCTTCAGCTGCACGTCTCCATTGCGTTCGGTTCTCTGCTAAAGTTTTCACCTGGCTCCAAGTCTGCCCACATGCTTTCATCTCCTCTTCACATGACCTCCTCCAAGTCACCCTTGCACTGACGACCAACTCGCCGCTTCCCTTTCGGGTTCCACTCGAGTAATGGCCTGTCTAGTGATGTCACTTGATGGCTTCCTCAAAGTATGGCCACAATCCACCTCCATTTCTTCATGCTTATTTGTTGCACAATCAGTTCCTGCTGGGTTGGTTCGCTCCCAGAGATCCCTGTTGCTGATCTTTTCTGGCCGACCATCTGATCTTGAGTAGTATTGAGCGAAGACAGCTGTTGATGAAGGTCTGTAGTTTGTTTGAGGTGCTCTTCATGATGTGCCAAGTCTCTGATCCGTATAGTAGCACTGACTTCACATTGGAGTTGAAAATCCGGATCTTATTTTTCATGCTGAGTGCTGTTGACCTCCACATAGACTTGAGAGTAATGAAAGCTTGTCTTGCTTTTCCGATTCTTGCTTTGATATCCTCGTCAGTTCTGCCCCCTGTAGTTGAAACGATGCTTCCCAGGTAGGTGGGTAAAGGAGGTTGCTTCTTTCAGGTTCCTCCCATTTATGCTGATTGTTGTCTGCTGTTGTTGTTGTTGTTGCCCAGGAATCTTCATCACCTCTGTTTTCCCCTATGTTCACCTAAAGTCCTATCTTTGATGCTTTTTCTATCGCCAACTTGTTGTTTTTCACTTGCATATCTTCCAGTTGGTGGGAAATCAGATATATACCATCAGCGAAGGCCAGATCCTCCAAGTTTTGCTCACAACGTTAAGAACAAAGTTAATTATATACTACACTGGAAAATTCTACTAATAATTTGCTTAGATAATGCTGATCTAAGAGTTGAACGTCTGCTAAGTCTAGACAAGTAAATTTTCGACTCTTCATTTGTTTTGTTGCTGTTGCTGTTCATTTCGGCGACTTCACGATTTCCCACCAGTAAAATCAACCAACTGCGGTGTAAGGATAAATGCTCAACGAGATGACATTTGACTGCAAGCCGCGGGGAAACTCACAAATTGACCGTTGGATTCCGTTCCAGTGGCTGAATGGTCAATAACCTCACCTCATAACCTGAAGGACCCCCCTCGGTTTGACTTCTGGAATGGTGGTGGTCATAGATGCGTACTGATAAAGAGTTCCAAACCAGGACGAAACAACTTTCCAATACTCCCTTGCGGTTTTCAACGATTCTCTGAACTGAAGTCCAATTATGATCAAAATTGAAACGAATCAAATCGCTACAATCTAACACTTTCCACATAAATTTTGCACTTCACGAGGATTGATTGTGTTGGAGCGAAATACTTGATCGCTGTTGACATGTTGGCTCCTATTGTAGATGCTTCAAGGGTGTCTGAAGATGAACATGATGTTGCTTCATGTTAGTTTGTTTATTAGATGTATCACACAGTCAGGGAAACAGTATTACTTACTGGATGACGAGGTTTCGAACACAATTTATTCCTGTTCATAATCATATCATCAATTATAATCACACGACTTTGAAACTTGAGTTTTATAGTTTTTTTTTCTTGTCTCCTATTTGTCGTTGTTGGGGTAGTATAATTTTCCAGATATCTTGGTGGACAGGTGTTGAATCATTCCTATTACATGTATTTGCAGTTGATTCGATAAACAAAGCTTCTGTTATCAATCCTGTGACATTAGACTTTAAAATTGTCATCTTATCCCATCCTATTGCGTGATTGCATGTAGTGCTATCTATGGCTGAACTATTCTCTATATTTCTTATCTTATTTGGGTCAACTAATCTAGATTTTCAAGTATTGGTTTGGTAGGGATTTTGTTTAATTGTATGGAGGATTTCATCATGAGCTGACATCAGTTAGAGAACCACTGGAAAACCTGGGAGTACTGGACAGCTGTTTCGTCCTAGTTTGGGACTCTTCATCAGTACGCGCCCACCGGGATTCGAACCCAGATTTTGCTAGGTTTTATGCTCGGCTAGTCTGACTGTACCTGTTCTACTACTCTGACCCATGTATTTGACCTGACAATCATTGCAGGCAGGGTACTAGATGAACTAAATTGTTTTGTTTTATTGGCTCCACAGGATTGATCCTTTAACCGACAAAGCTTGTTTCTAATTGAGTTTGTGGGTGGTTTGAATACCAGCCACTTTTATTCCTGCCAGCTTTGTTAAGAATTCTGCGTAAGGGTTTCCGAGGTTCCTTCCTTGTATGGAATTACTACTGATGATTTAGATTCCTTATTGTTGATGTTGTCTTGCGCATATTTGACATGCATGTCGTCACTATTATTATTATTATTATTATTATTATTATTATTATTATTATTATCACTATCACTATTTTTTTTATTTTTACATTTCCCTACATGCTTTCTGACTAATTTATCAAGGTACTTATCAAGTTTCAAGGCTTCTCTTATATGTCTCACTTCCTGTCTTAGATTTTCCTTGATACTACTTAGTTTTTGTGCTCTGTCGCTTAAACATTTCACTAATACTGTTTTACTGTGTGAAACATCTCATAAACAAAAACTAACATGGAATTACTTACTACCACAGTGCCCAAGTTTTACACATATATGAACATGATGTTTTTTCGGTTGGTAGTGACTACCAATGTCATCCTAAATACTTATTTCGTCCCCTTTGGTGCTCGTTATCTGGATTTTCCCAGGTTTTTTCATCTCTGTGCATCCCAGGAGGACCATCGGTCTTCAGGCTTGTTTTTAACGGGTTAGGTCGCTAGGCTCAGGCCCAACCTTACCTCTCTCTCAGCTGTGAATATATTTAAATGGGAATCTGTTTTTTTAAAATTTATTATTTATTTAAAAAGAATTGCTGATATCTAATAAATTAAGCAACGTCTAGGAGTGTGTCGGCGGCTAGGGATAGAACCCCAGTCCACGTAGGTGGCCCGTTGACCTAATGGATAACACTTTGGAGTTTGAAATGATAGGTGCTGGTGCCATCACACTGGAGATGCAAGTACATCCAGCTGACGACTCCAAAATAACAGGATAGTGCTTATTTTAAAAAGGGAAAGACAGTGAATAAAGGAACGTACCAATTCTTTGACTAAACGGCGCTTTGTAAGTTCTGATTGTGGCAGGTAATCCAGTAAGTGTGCTGTATTCTCCCTTTAGAAGAAAAAAGATATATAATAGATAGACAGCACGATGATTACTTTGATAAACGCCAAGAAAGACAAGCGAAAACACACAAAAAAAGAACAAAGAGATCATGATCCTTTATCCTATTGTGACCAGTGAAACAGTAATTGTCTTTCTGAGCATTCTACTCAAACAAACTAGTCCCCTAATGCGTTATCCTATGAGCCACATTTTTGGCGTGATCACTGATTCTACTATCCAGTTAGCTGTTCAGGCTAATTTAGATGGAGAAGGACTCTAACCGAGGATCTACTGGATCCCGACCGATAGCTGCTACCTTGACGCAGTGGTCGGGTTTGCATATCGCAGTGACCCAACAAGCTACATTGGCTGGAACTATTGTTCCTGCAAGTTTTATCATGCCAGGAAAGTTGTTAGGATAGCGATTAGACTAAAAGCAGTTGCCGACGTAATGTAAGAATTTTTCCTTTTTACACTATGCTGCGAGTCTGTGGGCGAAGTCGTACTACCTGTGGGGAACAGGGATGTAACAGCAGTAAAGTGTTTCCCTCAGATGACCAGCATGCCAGCCAGCTATGCTGTCTCTCCACTCTCTGGAGATAGAGAGACGGGATTAGAAAAGGTCGACCCCGACAACTGTACATTCCGACTTACCCCACCTACGGTGGTCCGTAACCCGCGGTAAGTTTACTAATACGGAACCAAACCAAAACCGTGTGTGACCGGCCTCAAGCGGTTGTCCCCTGGGCTATGCAGTGATGCAACACTAACCCCTCTTTCTGTTTCAGGTACCCGAAGAATCAATCAACATCCACGGTTGGTTGGGCAACCGGGAAATAACAAACACCCACACACTTCCAAAAGCACACGAAGTCTTCCTGACCTACTGGATGGTTGACAGGCTTAAGCTCTCAACTTCTGCAGTCAATAGGCCTCGGGCTCCAGTCTGGCTTTACCTACTTCAGTTTTGATAACTACGTAGTATCACTAGCCAGAAAGGATAGGTAACAAGGAATTCTAACAGTTAACCGATCAACCAAAGACACATTAGAGGATATACGCGCGAGGAGACCATTCAGTGATATCACGCACCAGGCAGACCCTCGAAAGGATCCTAGATGGCAGACGACAAGCAGGGACTAGGTTTGAAGATGATATGGAGTAGATTGTGTGAGGAAAAAGTGAAAGCTTACGGGCAGTCGTGGAGCCAGAAGAAAAGACTTCAAAGAAAGCGGTGAAGTAGACAGATGTGCTTCTCAAGTCGTATTTTCCACTCGGAACCCAAAGGAACAATAATAATAATACAGCCCCGTTACTTGACTAACTGATATTCAACCAACACAGACAAAATAGAAAGGACAAGACGCATATAAGCGAACAATATTGTTGTTTTCAATTAGATCTTCTTCAGGCTTTACTCTAATTTACATAGATTTATATATAAAAATTTTTAACCAATGACGGTGATTTTGTGGATCAAACTGACAACAGCTAAAAAGAAACAAAGAAAGTGTTCATGAAACTGAAATTTAACGGGGATGCGGCTAGCGAAGTCTTGCATCTGAGATTATCAAGAGCGATAAAACGGACTTATACCGCCGCCACCCTTTGTTTGTCATTTTCCAGTCGAGCAGTTATGATTGCTCAAGTGAAAGATAAGCTACCTAGCTGTGCCACTTCTATGTGTATCTATAAATTTAGTTGCTCCTGTGGAGAGAGCTATGCACGGCGAACAACTAGACAGCTTAACAAACGCATCACTACTGAGCATCTTCCTTCATGGTCCGGAAAAGGTCAAATAAAATCTATACGAAGTTCTATTTTGGCTCATTTGATTGACGATAGCGGTCGCCAAGTGGACAAAAATAGTGCCTTCAAAGTTATCTATCGCATTCCATCGAGCCTTTCGAACGGAATTCGAAACCGTCAGTTTAACACATAGCTGAAGAGGCTATGGGAATTAATTCGAGAGAACAATCCTCATCTTTGCATACAACAAAAGAAGTTTGTTCTACCTTCAGCACCAACGGATTGATTGGTGACGAAATCACAGCACGGATCCAGAAAGCTAGGGCTGCTTTCGCTAACTTACACCGTCTCTGGCGTAGGCGTGACATCCGACTATCAACCAAGGGACGTGTGTACTGCTCAGCAGTTCGCTCCGTCCTTCTCTATGGCGGTGAGACGTGGCCATTGAGAGCGGAAGACATGAAGAGATTGTCTGTTTTTGACCACAGATGTTTACGATCTCTTTCTCGCGTTAGGTGGTATAATAAGGTAAGTAATGTTGACGTTAGGTGTAGAGTGTTGGGCAAAGAGGGAAAATCAATCGAAGAGGCTATAAAGTTACATGGATTGAGATGGCTAGGTGACGTACTGCGCATGCCTAACCATCGCCTCCCACACCCCGACGGACGGGCATTACTAGCTGATATAGGTGCAGGTTGGAAAAGAGTAAGTGGTGGCCAAACAAAAACATGACATCAATCAATCCATGAAATCCTTGACAGTTAAACTGAGTCAGGTAGGGAGGGAGATGCAGACTTCCGGGTTGGGGCCCACCCTGAGGAATCTAAGAATCAATGGCTGGAGACAGACAATAGGCGACATGGCTCAAAATCGTTGTCAATGGCTTACTCAGATGTATTCAGTCTCTATAATCTTTCATATTCCTTTCTACCATTACTCATTCTGTTTCACTCTTATACTTGTCAAAACTCGATTGATTCTCTTCAGTCATTTTCTTGTCTACGTGTGTTGTGGTATTTGGAACGTGGCAACTCGAACTGCTGCACTTTGGTGCCAAGTTCTATGTTGAATCCAGACAGAGACAGACAGACAGTTCTACCTTTGTCTCTCCCTAGTCATCGGAGGTAAATTCTATTCAAAACCCTTCCACACACTTCCTTATTTTCGTACTTTTGTGATATTTATTTAAACTCTGATTATTTGTCCACTTCGCCTACCTTTAGTATTACGTAACTTTTGAGATTTGACCTAATTTATTTATTTATTCAATTGTCTACATATACAAATATCACTCACTACCTTTGTTATTCTTATCGCCACCTGCATAAACCTTATTATCAATATTTTGTTATCACTATAATCATCGTTATTAATTACGTTCAAAAAATTTACATTATTATTATTACTATTATTATTTGATCCACAAAATCACCGTTATTGGTTAAATTCCTTTTTATATATAAGTCTCTGTAAATTAGAGTGAAGCATGAAGAAAATCTAATTGAAAACAGCAATACTGTTCGCTTACTATATGCGTCTTGTTCTAATATTAAAAATAGAAAGGCCCATTCAATAACATACACCATATAGAGTAATCATCACTAGGATATGTAGATTACACAGCATCCTAAAACTAACCACCCAAAACAGATTAGAATGATGAGACCCACTTATTTATTGTTCCCTTGGGTTCCTAGTGGAACATAGGGCTTCAACTACACGTCTCCACTTGCTGCTTCTGTCTTCTGCTGTACTTTTCACCTGCATCCATGTTAATCCATACTGTTTCAACTCTTCTTCACACGATCTCCTCCATGTCACCCTTGGACGTCCCACTACTCGCCGCTTCCCTTTCGGGTTCCACTCGAGCACTGACCTGACGCGCGATGTCCCCCAGCGGCCTCCTCCTCAGCGAGTGTCCAATCCATCTCCACTTTCTCCTGCATATTTGTTGTTGGGCGATTGGTTCTTGTTTTGTTTGTTCCCATAGTTTCTTGTTGGTGATTCTTTCAGGCCATCTGATCTTCAGTATAGAACGAAGACAGTTGTTGGTAAAGGTCTGCAACCTGTTGGAAATACTCTTTGTGACCCGCCAAGTTTATGATCCGTATAGAAGAACTGACTTGACGTCGTTTGTATTGAAAATCCGAATTTTGTTGTTGATGGTGAGTGACGAAGATTTCCAGATTGGTTTCAGGTTTATGAATGTGTTTCTCGCCTTCCCGATTCTCGATTTGACATCCTCGTCCGTCACTCCTGTAGTTGAGACAATGCTCCCTACCTAGACAAGTGAATGAAGTAACCTCTTTCAAATCCCTCCCGTTGATGGTGATTGGCGCTGGATGTTGCTGCTGCTGCTGTTGTTGTTGGTTGGTTATTTTCATAGATTACTAGCTCGCTAGTTTTCTAGCCGGTCCCAAGCCCGGATAAAGAGGGAGGGTTGGGGGGGCGTGGTGCTAGCAACTCCACCCCCAAAACTTAACCAAATTGCTACAGAAACTTCAACGCATAAATGAGACCACCCACTAACTAGAGGAATAACAGTGAACACTTTTACAATTAAAAAAAACTGGATTACCAAGCTGTTGTTTGATTAAAAAGGCATTCATATCTTTCGGCAACTTCTTCAATTTGTTCACGAACCAGCAGTTCTAGCCAATCGATCAATATCTGAAAATAAATGTGGAGCATAGACACTTAGCCAGTATACATACAGCTGAAGAAGGCATAGACAGAAACAAAAACACAAACTAACTCTCAAGTTGTAGGCTCAATAATAATGCGTAGACTAAGCGGTCCATGGGAGAAACAAATAGGAGAGAACCAGGCAGGCTTTAGACTAGGAAGGTAGAGGGTGTATTGACCATGCCTTCATCCTTCGACAGATTTTGGAACGAAACATAGGCATACTTACCGCCGGCGTCCAACATTCGTTATATTTCTTGACGTAAAGGCGGCATTCGAGTCTGTCGACCGACGGGTAGCACGGCGATGTTTGGCTGTGAAGTGAGGGAATGCCGAGAAAATATATTGCACTGTGAAGGCGCTTTACTCGAACCCATTTAGCAGTCAGCCAGGTGAGAGCTTACGGCGAGTTGTCGTCTAAAGTGAAGATAATTAGTGGTGTCCATCAGGGATGCGCACTATCACCCATCAATTGTCTCCAGCCTCCATTGGTTCTTACTATCTTGAGGACCCCAGCCAGTTAGCCAGTCTACACCTCCCTACGTGGCTGGCTGGCTTAAACTAACTGTTGTTATGGATTTCACTGTCTGATGAAGCCATGTTTTGGTTTGATCACTCCTCGTGCTAGCTCTTTTCCAACCTGATCCATCTTGTGCCTGCGGCTAACACTGCATGTTATCGAGGAAGGCAGGCGATGGCTAGGCATGAGTAACACATCTCCTAACCATCTCAGTCTACGTAACTTTATGACCTCATCTCAATATTACTCACCTTGTTATACCACTTAACACGAGAGATAGAATGCAGGCATCTATGATCAAAGACAGCCAGCTGGCCTTTTCATGTCTTCCACTTTCAATGGCCATGTCTCACCCGCAACCATAAAGGGGGATGGAGCGAACTGTTGCTATTCGGCACACACTTCCTTTGATCGACAGCCAGTCAGCCAGCAGGATATCACGTCTACTAAACCCGAGATGGCCTGAGTCCGCTAATAACTGCCAACCGAGGCTTCTGTATCCGTTCTGAGATTTCGTCAGCCACCAACCCGTTGGGGCTGGCTGATGCAACTTCTCAAATAAGTGAAGTAGTTAACACACTCTACTATTTCATTATGTAGGCACTCTTACCTGGCTGCTAAATGGGTTCGAGTAGAGTGCCTTCACATCAGTGCGATGTATTTTCTCGGCATTCCCTCTTTTCATAGCCAAACATCGGCAGAGTACCTCTCGATCAACAGAATCGAATGTCGCTTTCAGATCAAGAAATATGACGATTGTTGGAGGCCGGTGGTAATTATACTTAGGTTCTAGACTATCTAGTTTACAGATCAGTAGAAAGCCCGGTAAAGAGGGAAGGTTGAGTGTGTGTGAGGTTACCAATCGCCCCAACCACCCCCCCCCCCGCGTAAACACAATACAGCACACACACAGTCACTGAAACTTTAAAGCGTGCAACCCTCTGTTTCATATCATTCCGAATACAGGGAATTGGGGAAAAAGCATCACACATTAACCAGTCAACTCACCTGTGTTTCACGTAGTTCACTATCCTTTTCATACAGTAGCCGGATTATTTCCTTTTCTGAATGATTAAAATTCTAACAAATATACAGAATAAAGAAGAATAAAAATATGTACATACAGTGATTAAGGATGGATTATTTGATTAAGTATTTCAAATCCCATGACACACTTTAATATTTTAAAGTTTACACGATTGGGCCATGTTATTTTTCTTATTTAAACGCCGAAGAACTTGGTGCAATATGGCACCAAGAAGATATGCCACACAATAATGGCTGGCTGGCTGGATTCAACATAGAACTTGGCACCGAAGTGCAGCAGTTCGAGTTACCACGTTACAAATACCACACAAAGGTAGACAAGAAAATGAGTGAAGACAATCAATAGAGTTTTCACAAGTATATGAATGAAACACCATGAGTAATGGTAGAAAGGAGTATGAAAGATTACACAAGAGACTGAATACACCTGCGTAAGCCATTGACAACGATTTTGAGCCATGTCGCCTATTGTCTCCAGCCTTCATTGATTCTTAGAGTCCCGAGGGCGGGCCCCAACCCGGAAGTCTGCATCTCCCTCCCTACCTGACTCAGTTTAACTGTCAAGGATTTCATGGATTGATGAGGCCATGTTTTTGTTTGGCCACCACTTACTCTTTTCCAACGTGCATCCATATCAGCTAGTAATGCCCGTCGGGGTAGGGGAGGCGATGGTTAGGCATGCGCAGCACGTGATCACCTAGCCATCTCAATCTATGTAACTTTATAGCCTCTTCGATTGATTTTTCCTCTTTGCCCAACACTCTACGCCTAACGTCAACATTACATACCTTATTATGCCACCTAACGTGAGAAAGAGATCGTAAACATCTATAACATCTATGGCAATGGCCACACAATAATAATAGAACAACATAGATTAAAAGTAAAAATATGGGTGGAGAACGGATAAAGAACTTTATCTGGAAGGAAAAGTCATACTTAGCAAGTTCAAAGGGTGTTCGTCAACTATCATCGGGAAGGGAAGAAAGAAGGAAATTGTAACAGTTTCGCCACTGATTACGATTCTTGGCCATATTCGATAACGTCTCGAGCCATCGATTCGAGCTATCTCTCGGATTGCAACCAGGGAGACGTGACGCACCAACCGATAATAATCTAGCACAAATATCCTTCATCCCACAACGCCACGTCATGGACTGACCACCTCTCCGCCTTTTCCATCCCATCCCAGGGCTAGCGAACAGAAACACCTGTACGGAAGCCTCTGGGATGACATTCGCAGCACTTGTCCAAGCCGCCGAAGCCGGTGTTCCCACAGAATGACACTCAACGAATGGTGACCTCCACTGTGTTCACACACACACACGCCACCAAACCTCAGAATTACTCACACCATGACGCCATCGAACGCAAGCAATCCTGTGGAGACAGCGAAGATCGAATATGCAGAGCCACCACACATCCTTAGCTCGGAGAGGCCAGGTTTCACAGGCGTAGAGCAAGACAGCCCGCACCAAAGCATTGTATACCCGACCTTTGACAGCCAGGCTAAAGTCGAGACGACACCAGAAGTGGCTCAAGTTGATGTATGCCATCCTAGCCTTCATTATACGGTTGAAAATCTCATCCGTCACCCATCCGCTAGCACTCACACAACTACCCAGATACACAAACTTATCGACAACTTCAAGCGGTTCACCTGCAAGAGTGAGTGCAGGTACTGGATTTTGCCAAACTTGTAACAGTACTTTGCGCTTAGACGGCGCAAAACACATACCAAACTTACAGACACTGACCGCCAGGTGCGATTTGGGCAGCCTGCATACTATCGCACAGTAAGACGATATCGTCTGAATACTCGAGGTCAAAAAGTCTATCTCCAGGGAGCAGATCTACACCACCTTCACGTACATCCTTCAGAGCTGACTCCAGAATGTCATTGATGGCAAAGTTAAAAAGAAATGCAGAGATAGGGAAACCCTGTCTAACCCCACTGTTGGTTGAGAACAATTGGGCCATTTATCTAACTCATTCGACAAACAATCTAACCCGTGTTGTGGACTGCTAAGAACAGCTGCTCGCTTCGCTGGCTCCATACTGAAGGTCAAATAGCCAGTCAGAAAGAAATAGCAACAAGACACTCTGTAGTGGAACAAACCAACCGCGAGTCGATCGCTCAACAAATATGAAGGAGAAAATGGAGATGGATTTGGCAAACGCTGAAGTGACCGTCGAATGACACCGCACACAATGCAGGCCATCGGTTGAGTGCAACCCGAATAGGAAGCGAAGAGTGGGTAGTCGGTACGAGGGTGACGTGGAGGAGATCGTGAGAATTGTAGGAGGTGAGAGACAATGGGCAATCGTGGGCCCAGATAAAGAGGACAACAGAAAATAAAACAAAGTAGGTATGTGCTATTGAAGCCCCATATTCAAATCAGAACCCAAGGGAGCAATAATATTAATAAGTTGCTAATAATGGTTTACTCAAAAGTAAGACTGCCTCACGCACGAAGCTTTAACCCCTTGTAAAGAAGTTAAATGTACACACATTCACTGTAGCATAGCACGAGACTTTGTAAAGTTACTAGAAATGGTAGATAGATGTAAACTTCACCAAAAATTTGACCACATCATGACACGAATAGCAGCATAAATGTATTCACCAAACTCATACTACTCTCTCTCTCTTTTAACATTAAATCATATTCATGACTGTTTTGCCTCATTTATTCTCTGAAAAGAGTCTATCCAGAATGCGTGATCTCCATAAAATAAAACTAGTGTTTCAGGTCGGTCGGTTATAAAAACATGCAAGGGAAGGTTACCGAAAAAACCTGTAAGAAATAAGTACTGAAACCAAAAACAGATTACAGACAATCAACATTTGCAATTAGTAGTGTTCTCTGAAAAGCTGGTTGGTTTAGTTGCGGAGCTTTCGTCGTCCTCGCCGATGGACAACATCCCTCTTCAGCGCAATTTTTAGCATAAAGTGAACTGATTTAAATTTTCCATGAGTGATAGAATTGCGTCTCCCGGTAACCATCTTTACATATGTATTGATCATTTTTTATTGACTTGGATTTTAAACTTTCTCGTCACATGATTTACTTTTTATTAATTGATAGATTTGGTCCATATTAACATGTTTGTTAATTGCATATTCGTTTGAGTACCAGGTTTCTAGGAATTCCCTGACTGCACTCTTGGTGTTTCCTCTGTCTAAAATTTCGACAGTATCCCAACCCAACTGTTATTCATAATTATCTGTATGCATTGATATGAAACAGGCATATATATCATGTCTTTTCACAGCTGATTTGTGTTCCTGAATTCTGATTCGAAGGGGACGCCCACTTCGACCACCGATGTAATGTCTGACACAGTTAATACAATCTATTTTGTAGATCCACTTCACCTATTTGGGAAGTTGTATCAGCACCAACGGATTGATTGGTGACGAAATCTCAGCTTGGATCCAAAAAGCTCGAGCTGCTTTCACTAACTTACACCATCTCTGACGTGGGTGTGACATCCGACTATCAACCAAGGGACGTGTGTACTGCTCAGCAGTTCGCTTCGTACTTCTCTATGGCTCTGAAACATGACCAATACGAGTTGAAGACATGAAAAGGTTGACTGTTTTTGATCATAGATGTCTACGATCTCTTTTTCACGTTAGGTGGCATAATAAGGTAAGTAATGTTGACGTTAGGCGTAGAGTGTTGGGCAAAGAGGGAAAATCAATCGAAGAGGCTATAAAGTTACATAGATTGAGATGGCTAGGTGGTCACGTGCTGCGCATGCCTAACCATCGCCTCCCCCACCCCGACGGGCATTACTAGCTGATATAGGTGCAGGTTGGAAAAGAGTAAGTGGTGGCCAAACAAAAACATGGCCTCATCAATCCATGAAATCCTTGACAGTTAAACTGAGTCAGGTAGGGAGGGAGATGCAGACTTCCGGGTTGGGGCCCGCCCTCGGGACTCTAAGAATCAATGAAGGCTGGAGACAATAGGCGACATGGCTCAAAATCGTTGTCAATGGCTTACGCAGATGTATTCAGTCTCTTGTGTAATCTTTCATATTCCTTTCTACCATTACTCATCATTCTGTTTCACTCTTATACTTGTCAAAACTCTATTGATTCTCTCTTCACTCATCTTCTTGTCTACCTTTGTGTGCTATTTGGAACGTGGCAACTGGAACTGCTGCACTTCGGTGCCAAGTTCTATGTTGAACCCAGCCACAGCATTTTGTAGATAGTATTAATTTTATCAACATGTAATATATATATATATGCAAAATGTTTCACTTGAAAATTGTAAAATACATACAGATAGATCACTGCTTTCAGTTGTTCCAGTCTTCATTTCAGATTGAAAACGGTCTAAATAAATACTGGAAATAAGACTCCAGGTATTTCTTTCCAAATTGATCATTTCTGTTACACTACGAATATTAGGTAATCTATAGTAGAATAACATTAATTATTTTGTGATTAATATTTTCTGAGACTATTCTTACCCTCTACGATGAGAGAGTTTCGTAAATATCTTAGGTAATCGTTGGACAGTTTTGTAGCAAGCATCTTTATATTGGATAGGGATTTCTGATAAAGATGTCTGAGAATTTTGCCAAACATTACAAAAGTGAGAATAGAGACTAGATCCATCTACAAAAAGAGAAAAATAGTTTTATTGTTTAAATATAGCTGGTTAAGTACCGAAAATTTCTGGATCGTCATCCATCAACTGTGTAGTGTTGGCAGTCTTTTTGAAGTCATTGTTTACCTATCATTATAGAGGGTCAGATTGACACCAGACAAAACTCACTTCAACCCAAGAATTCATTAAGCTAACTCCAGTCATTTTGCCCGTCTAGGTAGAAAATAAAATAAAAAAAAGAAGACGATTATTCTTACATTAAAATACCAACAAAAAATTAAACTCAATTCATGTGAAGGTCGGTCGGTTTTCGACATAGAACTTTGCACATATGTGCGGCAGTTCAAGTCCCCACACTCCCTCGTTGTAAGCACACAAAGCAAGAGAAGAAAGTAGGAGAAATGCATAATATAGACAGTAAACAGAGGTGTGAGATATCACGTCTACGCCAGAGACGGCGTAAACTGGCATATGCGAAACTAGCCCTCTGTATTCGTGCTGAGATTTCGTCGAAGATCATGTGAAGAAGCTATTCGGTGGTTTTACCTTATGATTCTAAGTTAATAAAGCCAATCTAGTAAATAATAAGCACCAAGAAATGCCAAGATACTTCTCTGAGAGCTACTCAATTGATTTGCCTTTTGTGTAACAGATGAAGCTACTAAAGCAAAGGCTTTTGTTAAAAGACAAACACGACCTGTCGAATTTAAAAATTACTAACACAATATCATCAACTCTAGGAATATGATAACAATCAAACATACTTAGCCAATTTTAACAGTATTTCCGAAAGAAAGTGTTAAAAATTTGCATTGCAACAGTGTAAGTGACCCAGAGTCGTGTGTATTACCAGCACATCTTTAAGATGATTGCAACTATCATCCGTTATATTGCTGGATATACGGACCTTCTGAGTTGAATTTTCAACGTAGAATTGCACAGAAGTATACTAATTCACACTTTAAGAAATAGAAAATGCACAGCAAATATACTACAGGGAAATGTACACAGGAAAAGAGGATTCAGTGGACCTATAAGATCATAAGAGGTGAGTGAATCTTCACCATTGACAACGGTTTTGAACTGTGTCACCAAGTCTCTAACCATGGGTTTTTAGCATTCCGAGAACCCTAACTAGGTAATCTACAACCCCACCTACTTGGCTCAAACTAACAGCCAGACATCACGGACTGATGCTATGTCATGGTATGAGGCACTCTCTTACAACCTAATCCTATTTCAGTTAACACGGCTCAACAAGGAAGGCGGTGGCTTGCCAAACGCAACACGTGTCAGTCATCACAGTCGATGCAGATTTGAAACTTCATAAACCGTCTGTTCTTCCATACCTAATGCTTTACTCAATATTGACATTATATCACCTAGGACGAGAAATAGAACTCTAACACTCAGAATTAAATACGAATAGTCTCTTCATATCCTCCACTTTCAATGGAGCATACCATCTATAAATCCCCTTCGACATATTGAAGAAAAACTCTCAATCGTACATGATGGAGATATTGTGGCTATTATTCACACAAGTTGCTCAATGAATGCACTTCTTGAATGTTAGAAACGTTAACCAGTAGTTAAACGTGATAACAGACATAAGGTTTAAAAAGATGTAACCTCACAGGACAATTCAGCATAGCTTAAAGAACTGAATCAGAATATAAACGGATCTCCAAAACATTATGATCACTAATCATCTTGTTACCAATTTTGTGACATTTATTGCCGCTGAATTCAAATTAGCTCATTAAAATTAGGTGTAAAATCGATAAGGATGGTTGTTATGATTAAACTTCACCAGCGATTCTTTTCAAAATGGAATTCTCATTTCCCACTGTCCCCTTCCATCTTCACAAATTCTTTCGAAAAGAAAATGTACCTAACAGTCTGAGTAATTAGTACTGTAGTAACGTAACGAGAGTAATTAATTATACCTCTGCAGTTGTAGAAATTATTTAGCATACTATGAAGTATATGACCATAATTGTCATACGCAGAGACCACTATACAATTAACGTAGGATATTAACACGCCAAAAACATACTAACTAGACATAGTATGACAAGTGAAGTCAAATACACGGAGAGTACATTTGTGTGGTTTGCCAAAGTGTGCTGAATGACAACTTAAAATAGTAACAAGCACGCTCACCACAGAGAATATCGTTCTAATTCCATTAAGATTCAGTTATACGTAGACGATATTAGAAATGGTAAAAACAATCGGTGATGTGATTTTTTTTACTGTGACTAAAATCTGGCCAATGTTAGATAATTTTGACCATTATTCAACCAATATCTTGCCAAAATTTAAATGACGCCTTCAATTGTTCAGCCACTACTTCCTCATTTTAACCATTATTTAAGCAATGTTCTCCTCTTTGTAATCCCATAATGGAATTACACTCTACCACAGTGCCCAAGTTTTATTCTTATTCTCCTCTTTGTACCATCATTTAACTAGGATTTTTTCCACTACATCGCCATCCTTACCATTTGTCTAAAGTGTCTACTTTCATCTCTATTTAACCCCTCCTGATCCATTTTTGTACGACTAGGCAATATGACAACAACAGGATGAGAAAAATATTGTGACGTACGCATCGAGGAAGTAAGGAGGCATGAAGCATTAGGAAGATAATGACTAACAAGTACAGTGACTAAGATGTATCCACATGGAGATTCGTACCCAAGCTTATAACAATTCCAAACTTATTATAACTTATTCTTCGATGAGGTCTTTTTATGGTAAATGAAGATTTTTGATCTACCCAGTATGTTCTGAAATAATGCTTGCCGTGCTTAAAAAAAGAGCTGGGTGCTGAAGTAACGTTAGTCCGTGCTTGATAAGTCCTGTAAGAGCTGGATATTCGCTGATAAGCAAACCCAGTAGGTTCTGATCTACTTCTGAAAATGCCTAGAAAAAGAACGCGGTGCTGAACTAGTACCATTCATGCTGAAAACCAGAACTGAGTTCTAGTCTGTGCCATTAAAGAATCCATTTCACAACAGATTCAGAATTCACTCACTAGAGAATATTAGAATTATGTCAGAATTAGTGAGATTTAATTCAGCATTATAGTAGGCGTTTTATTTTTAACAAGTAACTGCTAGCATATTCTGTTTAAACGATACTACCATTGTATTTTTATTTAAATCTCAAAAGATACAAATTGCGTGAAAACTCAAACAGTAAAATACCCTTCATATATTCCCAATAAGGAACAATGTAAATAACTAAACGTCCAGAACGATATTCATGCACCCAGCTGTCCTTGAGCTGACCTTGACATTGAATTAAGTTTTGACTGGTTAGGCACTGATCTATAAAAACAACAGATTGGAAGTTCATTAAAGTGTAGTCCTTAAAGTAAACGTCTGATTGTAAAATTTGCCATTTAATTCGTAATGTAAGCTTGTTCATCGAAGTTAGGGAGATGGACTTTGTATTTGTCATATTAAAGAGTAGTCTTGTTCAGATATGATTCAGATTCAGGTTTATTGGTTGGGGATAGAAGGCTTGGAGCCTATGTTAGTCCTCTTCTAGTAAATTTCTGTGGTTGTCCAAACCCTTATTGAACGGATCAGTTGAGGTTGCAGACGCCACGTCTTCCGGGAGTTGGTTCCAAGAGTTTATGACTCGGTGTGAGAACCGATACTCAACAGCAATATGATTTCTCCTTGGCTTTTGAACTCTCCTGCTATACCCTCTAAAGTGTTCCGACCTGGTGGAAAGGTAATGGGATAATAGGTCAGGTCCGTAGTGATTGCTTAAAATTTTAAACACTATGATTAGATCTCCTCTCTGCCTGAGGTATGACAGGGAGAAGAGATATAAACTGTCTAGTCCTTCCTCGTATGATGTGTTAGTCATGCCTAGGATCATACGTGTCGCCTTCCTTTGAACCCTTTCTAGAATGTGTGAGTCTCCTTTTAGACGAGGACTGGCGGCTTGGATGCAGTTTTCCGGTCTCGATCTCACCAAAAATATAAATAAGGTGGTAAGCATATCTCTGGTGATTCTAGTTTGGCTGTACGAATTTCCCATAAGGATCTGAAACTACGTGCAACCAACGCGCGACAGGGTGTTGTAGTCTTTAAATCGTGACTTACCATGACATCTAAATCCAAATGAGCCTGAACTGATGCGAGTGTTGTTCTCTCTAGTTTGCAAGAGCTAATGCCTGTCTGTCCGATGAGCATGGTCGCACATTTCGCTGCATTGATCAAGAGCATCCATTATCTGGACCACTCTGACAATTTGTTGAGGTCCTCTTGCAACGCGAGCTTATCACTGTTGCCCTGCAGCTTTCTCCAAATTTTTAAGTCATACGCATACAGGACCACAGGGGAATCAGTGAGCATAGATAACGCATCGATATACGAAATAAATAGGAGAGGTCTGAGTACCGTGCCTTGTGACACTCCGCTACGCACTGCCGTCCAGAAGGAGAGTTTCGAGTTGATCCTAACTCTCTGCCTCCTATCCATGAGCAGTTCTCTAAGCCTGTTTAGTAACCTGCCTTTGATAACAAAGCTTTCCAACTTCATGAGTAGTCTTTTGTGAGTCTTTCACTGAAGTCAATTAAGACGACGTCAACGGGTCTTCAGTTTTCCCCTGATTTGACCCAGCCTTCTCTTGAAGTAAGGTGATTTGACGTGCATGAGAGGATTCCTCGGAAGCCTTGCTGTTCTCTGGATAACAAATTGTTGTTTTTCAGATATGCCATGATAAAATTTTTGGTGATTCTTTCCAGTGTCTTGACTAAAGTGCTGGTAAGACGAGTGACTTTACTGCATATCCCCGCTACGATGTCCGTTGCTATGTTGCTATGGGCTTCAAGTGGCCTTGATTTTGGGGGAAGATTTAAGTGATACTGCGATTTCATTGAGATAACTTAGGCTTTTAGGCGAAAGAAAGTTATTATGCTGGAATAAGGACAAGCTGTTCAGAAGGTAAGGAGGATATTATTTCTTAGTTTATTCGTCTATATACTGTGGCGCATCGAGTTGCACTACGATTCCACATGTAACAAAAGATTATGAATACCAAGCTCTTCTCTTTTGCATCAGAAAGTTACTTCATAAGATTTGCTATATTAAGCTCAGTAGGAAAAAGGTAAATTTTTTCACTTAAGTGTTTTGAGTTAGTTCGTGAACTGTGTAGGCCCCCTTAAGTAATGCATTTGGCATAGATGCTTCATAGTGAAATCAGGAGCGTGCATATTGTACTAAATCTTCTGTGCTTTCTGTATGGATTCGATGTTCATCAAGTGGCCATTTAACAACTACCGAGTGTTGCATGCGATCAAGCTAAAATTATAACTGGTAATTTCAAGAATTGTTGTCATTTTCATTGGCAGCAGTTCGCAGCCTATTGAATTTACACAAGTACAATACTCATTTCTCACTTTACTGAGGAGACATTAACTAGGGTTCTGGAAGAGAAGTACGTCAGTATGTGAATTTCATACCAGTCTGTAAATTTTTTTCGACCTGGGATATGTGGGTAAAACCGTGGGTGGTTTTCCGTTGAAATTTGGGCAAAGTGGGAAAAGGTGGGTTATTTTAGAAAATGACATGGGTAAAATGGGGAAAAGTGGCCAATATGTTAAAGTGTGCAAATTATGTGGCATTTACACCACCTTTTGCCCACCTATTTGCCCATCAAAATTACCCATTTAGCCCACGTTTTGGCCACATTGCCTAGGTGCATTCCCTGACTTGAATGAATCTGTAGATTGCATTCCATTCACTTAATACTGAAACTAAACTATGAGGAAACTGATATTTCCAAGAAGGATATGACACAAGGCTCATTTCTACAACTGTCGACCTTATTTTAGTTCATTTTCAGAATTATCTGTCATTGACTTTAGGGACTTACCGTGGAACAGTCTCGTCAACTTAGTGCATGCTGATGATATTGTTCACTTAGACTGTGAGAAGTGACCATTGAAACTGGAAGATATGCAAAGAATACTGTCTTTTGATCTTAGTGTCTGTGCCCTTTCTTCTGTGTTAAGTAGTCTAACATGGTGAGTAATATTGGGCTTAAGCCTAGTGTTAAGTAGAAATGTGACTCTAAGCGTTGTTAATGACACAGATGCATTCACTCTGTATAATCTCACATATCTGAGCAACCCTTATGTTTTTTCCATATCAGTGTTCGTTTTCTATCACATTTATGCTCATTAGGGTTCCATTTAATTTATTTTTTCTCTACTTTCATGTGCTACATAGGATGTGATAACTTAAACGGGCGCACTTGTCTGCAAGCTTCTATGCTGAAAGTCAGTCTGTCAGAATTTGAAACACAGTGGCTTTGCCAAAATATCTATTGTAGCCATACTACTTGGTTCTTTATGTCTTATCATATAATTGACATCTCACGAAACATATCAACAGATGTATAAAATATTAGCATTGCATTAACTTACGTAGGTCACCAAGTGACACTGAAATTAAAGCTCCGAAGAAACACAAGTGGCATCACAAGGAAAAAAACCGTTGAGGATCCAAGGAATGTTCTTTAGGAAAAATTGATTGCAGGTATATAATTTTGGTATACCATATCTCCGATGCTTTATTCGCACATCTTTTGGAAATCGGTCGAGTATCACCACATTCGATAGGTCCGCACCATAGTCACTGGCATCTGTGAAAAATGCGAACTGCTTCCCAGGCACTGGAAAACTTTAATATCATCTATTGACCATTTAACAGCTCTCTGATTTGATCAAACGTTTTCTGTGCCTCCGCTGTGCGTGTGAATCTCAGGTTACTCAGCAACCTATATAGAGGCCTGGCTATCTCGTTGAAATTTTTGACAAACCGGCTGTAGAATGCCGCTCTTCCCAAACACTATCTCAGCTTTCGTTCCAAATTTGGTATTTCACCGGTTTTGATGGTCAGAATTTTCTCGGGCAATGGTCGTATTTCTCCACACCCCACTATGTAACCCAGGAGGACAACAGTGGTTTAGGCTATTTGGGACTTGTTTTTGCTAACGCGCCGTCTGAGCTCATGAATCCTCTTCAAGTTGGCAGCGATGTGGTCTAGATGATCACCTTCCGTCTCACTATACACAGCCAAGTCGTCGCTCTATACTTCTGTTTTTCAGACGCTTCAGTAATAAAGTCACGAATCTTCTGAACGTAAGTTGGGCTCCTACCAATCCAAATGGCATTCGTTCAAACTGTTATTGTTTCTGTCCAGCCGTGAACGCTGTTTTACTTCGGTCACTTTCTGTTATTGGGATCCACCAGTAACCCGTGGGAAACGGTGAATAACTTGGCTTTCTCAAGGAGATCAGGGGCTTGTGTTACGGTTGGCATTGCACACTGTTCTTCTTCGGTGAGGCTATCCAGCT